GATACACTGCTTTGCAGCAGATTCAATCTTGATGGCCAGTTTGCCAATGGCCCGGACGGCCTTGCGCACAAAGTGAACGTCAATTTCAGTGGCATATCTGCGAAGGATGTCAGTACACGTTTGATACGGTCAATCTGAGAAGTTCCTACTCTCGGAGCTCTGCCAACACAACGGAGATGTTCTCTTTTGTGGTCAGCATGAACATTAATTCCAGCTTGGTGACTTTGACGTAGATTGGGTCGTTGTAATTGCAGAAAAACACTCGGATGTCATTCCGTAAGACCTCCGGTCTCTTCTGAAGAATTAAGATAGCATTGCGCAGAGCCAGATATTGGACCTCAGGCGGCTTGGAGAGCAATGTGACGAGTGGTGGAGATAACTTCTTGCATAACGAAGTAATATGCTTCTCGCCTGGAATGTAGTTCATGAGATAAAGAATGACACGGCATGAGGTTAGAACGACAGCGGAATTTGAATGCGATAGTCGCGGGGCGACTCGCTCTGCCAACAGAAGCGCCTCTGCGGAATCCTGGGGCACATACGCCATTAATGCCTCGAGGATGTAAGTTTGACCCCATCTATTTGAACTGTTAACACAATGTCCCTAGATATGGAACCGAAGATGCTTACTCGGAGCAGTCTGCCAGGATTGAAACCAATTTCGAGGCACTAACATAGTCGATGGTGAGCGAAATCGATTCACTGCGGCCCCAGATGTCCACCAATGAGGCTAAGACGCTGGAAACAACAGTCGGGTTCTCATCCTTCAACATGCGGTTGAGCCTGTCGATTAGATCTGAGTTCTCAACCATCTTTTTATCGTGCTCATAGAGCTTTGCAACGCAGAAAGCAGCCGTCTTGCGGACATATGGGTCGTTGTCTTGCATTAGGCGTTTGACAGGTTGGAACGTCGCTTCGACAAATTCGCGAACATGCACATATGAGATGGTTCGCAGTGCAAGCGCGCGGACAAGTGGGTTGTTATCTGCCATATCCTATAAAGCAAGTCAGATTAATTTGAATATTCCTTCGTGACAGCGGGGCCATACATCAATCAATATAGGTAGGGCCTTCAATGCAACCTCTGGTTTCATTCTCGAATAATTGACCAGGAACAAGAAGCACCTAGACAATGTATTAGCAAGCGACCTTCATTCCGTAGGGCAGGCCATAAGCATCATTACATCTTCTTGATCTCTAAACTCGGCAGATTCATACAACCAATAATATCCGGAAACAACGCAACCATGTCGTTGTTGCTCATAGTCATATTGGCGACAATCTTCTTAAGTGCGATCTTTTTGGCGGAATAGTTCTTGTCTTTTTTGCCGCCGCTATTGAGCTCTTGCCGTAGCTCTGCAACCTTCCCCTGTGTATTGCGCACGCGTGAGCCATGGAATTGAGGATAGGGAGCAATACCCATGAACATGAGGGCAGATATGATATGGTTATTTGGAGTGATGTAGGGTAAAGCAAATCGCCTATGCCGAATGCAAGGGAATCGAGTAAGATGCAGAAGGCCTGAGTACAAAGCTCACCAAAGCGAGGGGAAGTGAATACATGGAAGTAGACTGCGGGGAAGGGAGGAATGACCATGATGCGATGTGGGAGAAATCGTGCAATCAAAGAACAGGTTGGGCGCGCTAACGTACCCTAGCGAATAACTTCGCATCTCCTCCAGAACTCATGGCTGCGGTATAGACGAATAGCAATTAGGCACTGCAAGGCGCAATTTCTTGGAATGCGAACTTCGGCAAGCTCTCGTATCTGACAACCGTGCGATCAATCACAGTCGAGATTGGCTGGAGGATCTTCGAGGATAAGAAAGTAAGACGCGAAATCGAGTCCAAAGGGTCCGGGCCGTTCGGGGAGTTTCGAGAGAGGAAAAGGGTGAGATCGAGGGCGTGTTCACCTATGGCGCATGCGGGATACTCGGAGACAAATTAAATCAGCGATTGGACATTGTCCTTTCTTAAACAATAGATCGGAAAAGAATTAGGAGAAGTGGGAGATAAAGAGAGAGAGGAAGAGGGAAAGGAGAATTGAAGGCGGCGTAGCCACTAAGGGAACCTCCCTACTCGGGCAACTTTCAACCTCCCCCGTCATTCGATTCTCCCAAGATCATCTCTCCCCCACACCACATCTACTATCTTAATTATGTCACAAGCTCGTCTACCACCTCCTCCTCCTCCGCAATGGGTAGTTTCGTTGAACTCCCCGATGCCGCGCCCCTCAAAGGCCGCATCCAGCATCCCAGACCCGCCAGGCTTCTCGAGCAGTCGGGGAGGCAAACAGGTGAGTTCTACCACAAATAATGACAAATGGTGGTGAAGATACTAATGCGGTTTTCAGCGCCAGCAACAACAGCAACAATCTATCACGAAGAGACCCGACGAGACCGACGCGCTTAAGATGAAGAAAGCGTGGGAGATCGCCATCGCCCCATCCAAGCAGATCCCAATGAATGCCATTATGATGTACATGTCCGGCAACAGTCTTCAGATATTCAGCATTATGATGGTCCTCATGTTGTTTAAGGGTCCCATTCAGGGTCTGATAGGTATTAATGCGGCGTTCGCCAAGTACGAAACCCCGTCGACACATTCGCGTCTGCTTGGAGTGAAGGTGGTCTACATTTTGATGCAGTTGGCATTACTGTGCTTGGGTATCTGGAAGGTTAATGCGATGGGACTATTGCCGTAAGTCTTGCTCTCCAGCTTTGACGCTTATTTGCTAACATGTGTCCAGTACTACGAGATCGGATTGGTTAGCGTGGGAGTCGGAACGGCAGCCTTTGGAGCGGGCTCATTTTGCTTTCAGGTGATGCGATAATCTTGGAGTGCGGATTAAGTGTTGGAAAGAGGTTAATGGAAATGCATCCATGGGAGATAATGCGATTTGGAACAACAGCTCATCATGACAGTGATCATGTTGGTCTAATGCCTTGTATTATTGATTAAAAAGTTCTATAATCATGCATTTCTTGGGCGCAAGTTTCTAAAGGGGTATCGGCATGAAAGATGTAGTTTTCTGATGGTCATCGGGTCGCGGAATAACCCTTGGTCACTTCTGACTTCTTGAGGCATTCCCATCCACGGTTTTCTTGGCTGCCTCTTTCAGACGACGCTCTTCGCGCCAATCCGGCCCTTTTCGAATCACGATTAAAAGCAGCGGTGTCGTGGTCATCATCACCAACGCGATGAATGTGAAACACCAGCCCCGGCCCATGGCAGAGAGCATAGGATCGATGAGTGCCGTCGCGCCAGCTCCCAGTAAGCAACGCCCGAAATTATTGGCAGCAGTGGCCTTGGCTGCTTGTGTGGGATATAGGTCTACCAGGAGTGTACTGATGGTATTGAAAGCCCCTGTCAATGTCAATCCCATGAGGAATAGAATACACGTTGGCGCAGCGAGATGAATTCCATAGTTCAAAAACCACCCAAACACAAGGACGGATATGCTTCCTAACGTGAGAAGAGGGAATGCGAGCTGAAGACGAGCTTTTTCAATAGGAAAGTTTCGCAAGTCAGTTTCGCGGTTCTTGGTTAGCGGGAAGTTCAATTGCTTTGCAAGACGGCGGTAATTGAAATCCAAGAATTTGCCATTGATAACAGAAGCAATGGTCGCACCAAGGCCAAACGGAATATAGCAGAGACCGATTTGGAGGTCGTCTAGCCCATAGAGCTCATTGAAGATAGCAGGAATGCTTGCGCTCACGTCGTAGAATCCAGCAAAAAGAATAGCATTGCAGAAGAGGATGAGACTGGTATCCTTCTGGAATACAATGGCAAGCGTCTGGAAGGGATTGGGAAACTTGAGTTTCTGTTTGGATACAATTGCCGTAGATATGACGCCTTCTTCGCGAGCCTTTCGGGAGTCCAGGTAGCTTATCAGGGACATATTCCATTTCTGAGGAGGCAACGAGCCATCACCGACAATACCACGAGCAGTTTCCGGGAAGAAAATCAGAAATGGAACCATGAAAGCCGCTGCAAAAATGGTCAGAAACCAGAAGATCGCCCGCCAGCCCAAATATTGAGACAATAGACCTCCAATTACTGGACCGACAGAGGGACCCATGAGAGATCCTGCGGTGACGAATCCCATGTAGGAACCCCGTTGTGATGCAGTGGCTACATCGGCGACCACCCCCGATGAGAGCGCGATGGTGGTGCTGCTCCCTGCACTTTGCAAGCACCGGAGAACAAAAAGAGCTGCATAATTGTTTTGTAGAGCAAGTCCAATATTTGCTGCGATATAGATGGTGAAGCACACGATATATGCTGGTCGTCGGCCAGCTTTATCCGCAAAGTCACCAATGAACATGGGCGACAGCCCTTGGAAGATCTGCATTCACGTTAGTCAAGCCAAAAATGAGATGGTCCTGTACACATAAGGCGTACCATATAACTCGTCAAAGTCAAATTGATCAACGAATTTGATACATGCAGGTCTTTCGCCAAGGTATTCAACGCGGGAAAGTAGATCTGAGAAGAGACAGGGGAGAAGAACCCAGCCCAAGAGGCCATAAAGACAATATACCTGCGCTGACTGACTGTGAAGACCGAGTAGTCGACATCAGCAAGATCCCCGCTTCTCGTTCCCGCATCTTCACCAGATTCCGGTTGCGAAACAGATGGTTGTTTTATTTCCTTCTCCATCTAGGGCGTCAATTTCAAGACCAAATACGTGAGTAAGAGGGCCTTGGAGACGCAGAGAAACCTGCAACTCCCGTTTTTTCTCGCTAGCTCGTAAGCGGAAGGGATGCATATCGCCATTTGCGGAGATAACGGCCCAAAAAGACGTGCCGAGAAGCCGAAGATGCTAAATATACGGTTGATCACTACTCTTTACAAACTACAGCGTCTGTGTAGATATAATTATCTAGTCCAGACTGTGAGGAAGGATTCAAAATAAAGGTCTGATGAACTTGGTTTCCCCATAGTCGAATCTAAATATATGCAGTCAAAACAATACGATAGTACATAACAGAACAACAGTCAACGCGCTTTGACGGCTTCTTTGCATGCCTGCAAAAAGATCTGACTGAACTGCCACACTTCTGTGTAAGTGTTATACAAGGGTGCAGGAGCGACACGAACAACGTCGGGTTTTCTTTCATCAATAACAACCCCGTTCTCCTCCAAACAATGCAGAACATGATCTAACAATCCGGGCTGGAGACGTAGACTAAGCTGAGCACCTCGCTCGGCTGGATTTGATGGTGTGATGAGGGTGAATGGTTTATCTTCCGAGGCCGCATCTATAGGATACCTCATCAGAAGATGTTCTAGATACCCCGTGAGGCTGATGGATTTCTTTCGAATTTCCTTCATTGTTGCCCATTTGAAGATTTCGAGAGATGCGATGACCGCGTTGATGTCTAAAACAGAGGGATTCGACAGCTGGAATCCAGCGGCACCGGGCTGTGGCAGAAATTCTGTAGTCGTTAGTCTCGCTCGTTTATAATCAGAATCAGACCACGCACTGTTCTCCATGTTGAAACGCGTTTTAATATCTCCACCCCACCAGCCTGAGAGTCGAGGCCGGAATGTCTCGTCGCTTTCGGGCTGTTTCTCATCTACAGAACCGTGGCGTTCATGGACAAATAGTCCTGCTATTCCACCCGGTCCGCTGTTGAGATACTTGTAATTGCACCAGGCCGCAAAATCCACGTTCCAATCGTGAAGTTGCAAATCCACATTGCCGGCGGCATGAGCACAGTCCCAGCCGATCAAGATGCCTTTAGAGTGGGCGTGAGCCGTGATCCGTTCAATATCGAAGTACTGCCCTGTGTAGAACTGAATAGCCGAGAGGAGGACAAGTGCGGTGCTGGAAGCGTTATCATCGATCACTTTCATGATTTGTTTCGTGGTCAAGGTAGGCTGATCCAGATCCTTGGGTTCGATCAAAACCATGCCGTCCTTCGGATCGAAGTTATGATGGCGGAGCTGAGATTCAACCGCATACTGGATTGCACTCAGGTTAGCACCAACAACAAAATCGACAATTAAAATAAACAATCGAGAACATACATGGTCACTGGGAAAAGCCTTGCCCTCCAGTATAATCTTATATTTCTCTTTGGTCGGGCGATAGAAGCTTGCCATTAGCAGGTGCAAATTGACAGTCAAAGTGCCCATAACTGCCACTTCACTTTGGAAGGCACCGACAACTGAGGCCATAAGTTTCGATGCTGCGGTGTCAACATCGACAAACGGAGGTAGCAATTGATCATCATGCGGCACAAAGTGCCCGGTCACGCCTTTCGTTGCCCAAGTTCGCAAGTACTGCTCGATATATTTCTGGGTGCTACGAGGTTGGACTCCCAGTGAGTTACCACAAAAGTAGATGCATTTTTCATCAGACGCTTCATTGCCTAATGAGAAGATGATAAAGTCAAATGTTAGAACGGACGCCGCCTGGGTACACAAGAGATCCTGATACGCACTTTCGTCTACTGCCAGGGTCTTCCGCTTGAGATCATTGTTGGACGGAATGATAAACTCATCTCGGAAGCTCCGAAGCGGATCTTGAGCATCAAGAGCTTCGGCATACTCCTTCTTGTAGGCTCTGATATCATCTGCATAGAGAAGCGGGGAGCCGGTTTTGATGTCCCGAACATGCTGCTGGGAACCCATGATGACAGACCTAGGTCCAGATAGTTCCTGGAATGCGTGTGTATGTTTCACAAAGCCAAGAGCTCGAGCCGATCGGAGCTTCAGCAGAGAGTCATACAGTCTTCCCCCACCATCCGCCGATCCCTTCCAGATATGGATATTATTCTGCCTTGATTTACCGACTATATCAGACCAATGGCGTCACTGCTAAACTGACTAACCCGATGTAATCGGAATGGGGATGATTTGATATCAAGTGTTCTTCATCTCTCTGCTTTATCCGCTTGGAGTATCTCATTTTTTCATACATCAGCTATGTCACGCCCTTTATTCTCATCGACAGCCATCCGGCGGTTATCCCAAGCACAGACGTGCCGGCTCTTCTCGACTTCCCGACCGGCTTTGCGCCTCTCCGCATTCCCCGGCGGCGAAGTCGTTCCTCGCCGGCCAAGAACTATCGCAAGTAGCGCGTCTCCTCTCAAACGCTCAGCGGCTCAATCCTCGAACTCCCGCTATATCCGTCAGCCACATGTGTGTTTTTCCTCGTCGTCCATCCGTCCGGCGACCAAGGTGACGCAGAACCCGAGAACCGGAGATGATGGACAATCGCTCATGATTGGCATTTCGCCACGGGCCGTGGAGGTGAGTTGACAATGGATTTAATTTCTTTTCTTTCTGTTTGTCTGCTTTTGCTTCGATGTTCTATCTGGCCTGTGCTGGGACGGATATGGGAAGCTCTCCGAACTGCATGGAATCAAGTGCTGGGGCTCTGTCTCGATGTTGGCTTGCTTTCAGCCGACATGGGAAGACCCTATGACCGCGCCTTGGGTCCTTCAGATGCTCTTCCCAGCACATGCGACCATAGGGTGTGGAAAACAGGGCTTCCCGTCCGCTCAGCCGTACTTAAGCCACACGCCGGTGAGTTAGTAGTTGGGTGGGTGACCACCAGCGAATCCTCACTGTTGCATGTTTTTGTTTTTTTTTTTTGTTCTTAGCTTCTCCTTTTGGGGGGTTTTCTATTTATTTTCTATTTTTGTGAATCATCGAGCTAACCCAGCGCAGCGTCTCCGCGAGATCACAGACCCAACCTCCTCCCCCTCTGCTATTAAGGAAGAGAATCCATACCATCATCTTCGCATCACAGTTACCAGTGGTGGATGCCATGGTTTCCAATATATGATGTCCCTAGAGGGGGCTTCCAAAATTGACCCGGAAGAGGATACTGTGTTTGAAGCAGAAGCAGACGAAGCCACAACACAATCACCTGGCGAGGCCAAGATCGTTATGGATGAGCCCTCACTCGAGCTGCTGCACGGCAGCACCGTGGACTATACCACCGAGTTGATTGGGAGCCAGTTCAAGATTGTGGACAACCCCCGTGCAACAAGTAACTGCGGTTGCGGGACAAGTTTCGATGTCAGTGATTGATTGAGCAATTTGTCCCTTGGAGGGATAGGAGAAATAGTATTTACTATCGTTTGCCCTTTCTTCTCTTGTTTTATGTACATTATACTGCATTCTGCATTCTGTATACTGGAAAGATAGATAATCACATTCTATACCCCTCTTCTCTTACATTGGTCAAAATATTAACATCGATTTATGGTAAGGAGTCACGCAATGCCTTTTAGCAGGTCAACAAAAGCCTTGATAGTATTTTTCTACGGGAGAGAAAGCGAGGCTATCCACACGGAGGCACAGAAGTTGCGTGGATATGGATCCAGTTTAGTCAATGTATAATTGCTGGCTTGCTTAGCTTGGGTCGGAGACATGGATATCGGCACTTGAATGGAAATGACAAGAATAAGAAAGAGAGTCTACAGCATTCTTTATGAATCTTCTGGCATTGCTTTGCATTTATTACCTCATGAATCAGACAAGAAAACAGAACATCCCAAACCTCATCTACTTGCACTAAGCCCATTTTGATTTCCCTCATTCTGCTCATTGTAGTGGAAGGCACTGTATATCACCTAGGTAGGCGTATGCAAATGCAATCATCTCACAATAAGAGATATCATGAATATTATATCAAAAATCACCGAAGAAAATCCTTCTGAGATACCATTGCCGCCCGGTAAACCCAATTCTAGCGTCCTAGGGGATCTTGTGTTCCAGGGGCAATCTTAGTGCTCCTGGAGATGGCATTGGTATTCCTGGACATCTGGAGACGGCTCGGTGCCCCCTTGGACTAGCCCTGGCATACAATTCGTAAATACATCCGAGCGAAGATCTAAAGTCCCTCGGAGATTACCTTTTCGGGAAAGTACGGAACCTTCCAGATTCGGAACCACAGCCTTGTTCTATCATACACGGCGATCATTGACTCGGGATAGAGAAGGAAGGAGCTCGACTCCATATTAGATATAGAAGCACAATTTAATACTTGCACAATGCATATGTGGCTGGTATATATATCTCACGACCGTTCCAAGGTTCCCATTCGAGTATTCTAGCCAGTTCGTCGGACAGAAGTTAAGCGCGACATCTCCTAGGGGCACTTCAATTCATCACCATTACCCGCTATGGAGCGCTCGGAAATTACACCGAGCGAACAGCAGAGGTCGGGGTCTTCAGACACGTCTTTCGATGAAACAAGCTCGCCCTTACCATCGTCTGCGAGCTCCTGCTCAGATATTACCTACGGCGCAGACTTGAAACCATCGGAAGTGTTGAAGTCACAGGTCGTATTCGTGCCCGATCTGTTTTCCTCTATCATGGCAGTTGAGCCAGTGGTAAACCCAAACTACCACAAAGTAAAGCCAGAAGCAGATGCTTGGATTGCAGAGTATGCTTAGCCATGCTCCCCGATGGAATGATATCAAAACTGATACGAGACTAAGAATAATCCAGGCCGATGAAAAATGGGCTTCCAGGAACACCAGGGTAGACCTGGCCTACCTAGCCTCCATTTGGGCACCAACTTGTGATCAAGAGGCACTCAGGATGATGATTGACTGGAACCATTGGGTAGGTCTGACCGTATCTTATATACAGTATCAGAGCAAAATGTTAACTGGTGACGAATAGGTCTTTCTTTTTGATGATCGTATGGTAGTTCCTTTACTATTCAAATACCAGCGTGCTGACCCTGTTTATCAATACAGAGTTCGATGAAGGTCATCTCAGTCGAGATCCAGAAGCAGCCCAAGAAGAGATCAACCGAACTCTGGAAATCATGGAGGACACACAGCCCCCCGTGCAATGGGATGATAACCCTATTCGATTTGTCTTCCAGACCACATGGGATCGTTTGAAGCAGGTAAGGGAATAATTTACCCTTTTTCGGGTACAAAATCAATCAAACGCTGACCTCAAGACCAAAGCGGTGTGGCAGAGGTATGCTTGGTCTAAAGTCATGGAATTGGGGCTGTTGAGCAGAGCGGCTCAAAAGTCAGATCTTTTTACTAACATTAGGGCAGACCAGCAACAACGATGGAAATATATGCATCGACATTTTTTTGATGGATTGTTGAAGCAGGTCAAAGTAATGCATAGTCATCAGGCTCTTGGGCGCGATGTCCAAGAGTACATGGATATGCGCAGAGGGACGATCGGTGCATACCCAGCTATTGCCCTTACTGAGTGAGTCCCTCTCCATACCACTTCATCCTCCCAGCAGACTACTAGTGGGCATTGTATTGACTAGGTCTAGGTACGCCATTGGAATCAATCTTCCACCGGAGGTTATGAGCAATTCTTCTCTTGAGGAGTGTATGTGCATCTCAGCGGATCTGGTTCTCCTGTAGGTGCAAGATAGCTCGAATGGAACACCAGATTCAGATGGCTAATATTTCACAGAGTCAATGATATTCTATCATACAAAAAAGATCTGGTAGGTTGGCCAAGGAGCACATGTCCAAGACTGTCGAAGCTGAACCATTCTTCAGGCATTGGGAGTTGATCATAATTTGATCTTTCTTCTCAGAGCTCAGGGTCTTTCGATGCAAGAAGCAGTAGATAGAATAGGTGAGATGTTGAACAACTGCTACCGCCGGTGGTACAGTGCATTGCAGAAGATGGAAATATGGGGAGAGCACATCGACAAACAGGTACTCGCTTTCATTGATGCCTGTCGGAATGTGGCCTTGGGTAACCTGCACTGGAGGTGAGCGGAGCCAAATTCCGACCAAATCTGGAAAATCCAGAGCGAAATTGCTGACAGGGTCACGAATAGTTTCAAAACAGGTCGCTACCTCGGTGCCGAAGGAGACCAAGTGCATGAAACCAGAATGCTTCACTTGCCTAATTAAATACCACGCAGGGAGGCTACCGAATCATGCCTAGATTTAGGAAGCCAGAGATGCTCATATGATACGGATGCCCCAAGGACTTTTTGGGTACGCTCGACAAATTAGAATTCTTTATTGCTCCTTTGAATCCATTGAAATAGAAGCTCAAAAGATCAGCCTACCCGACCTAGATATCCAAGTTTTCTCTTCAGCGGCGTTCATCGGAACCTTAGGCATAGATCGCATACATACGCCCCTCTGGATTTAGTTTGAACTCTCCAACACAGCTTTGAAAAAGAGTGATCTTGACTTTGCTAGATACTGGGGATGACTACCGGAGTTATTACTTATGATTATCGCAGAGCCGAATAGCTCCGTAGATGGGACTCCGAAAGGTAGAGGCCGAAAGATTTTCAAATTGAATACTCGGCTCAAGAATATCTGGGAATTCGATCTCACTCGACTCCTACCCAGGATTTACTAAGCTTCCACAATTCTTCTTCCTTTGCCTGGTCAAATGCCCAACTGCTATATCCATATTCGAGCGCATCTCCACCCGGTGGTGTCGGATGAATTGCCACCGATGCGCCTTCCAAATACAAGCCGCCCCTGCCTTCCAGCTCACTCGAAACAGCACCATATATGCTGGTTGCGCAGGCCTGTCCGAGACTGGACAAGTATGCCATTGCGCGCTTGTCTTCCAAGACAGACTTCATTTCCTCCTGAGAATATTTCTGGAGGTTGGGGCTCATAAAAGCCCCAGGGTGGACGCTGAAGCCATGAAGGCCTTGGGCGCCATACAAGCGCTCGATTTGGGTGGTCATGTAGATATTGGCGGTCTTACTAGATCCGTAAGCAAGCCAGCCGTTGTAGTTTCCTTCCCAGTTAACGTTGTCCAGAGGAATAGGGCTGTAGCGATGGGCTGCCGAGGAAACGCTGACCACACGAGAGGCGAAGTTAGGCGAGGAACGTGCGGTTTCCAAAAGGGTGTCTTTCAGCAGATAGAAGAGGAGGAAGTGCGACAAGTGATTGGTTCCAAACTGAAGCTCAAAGCCATCTTTAGTGCGGCTTTCGGGGGTATTCATCACCTTTGTTCAATTAGCGAGGTCGCGCTTTTGTGTCGGTATTAATGAACTCACAGCCGCATTGTTAATAATGACATTGAGCTTAGAGCTCTGATTGAGAAATTCCTCGGCACAGGCCCGAACACTGGAGAGGTCTGTCTGATCCATGAAAAGAAGCTTCACACGCCCGGTATCGAGCAATGAGCCCAAAGCCTCCTTTGCCTTTTCGATGTTTCGGGCTGTGCCAAAGATAGTCGCTCCAGTAGATGCCAAGACACGTACAGTCTCAACACCGATCCCAGATGAAACGCCGGTGATCAGGACAACCTTGTCTGCCCACTGGCCAACAAGACCTTCATCTTCGATAATTTGACTTCCGGTTACACGCGAGTCGCCTGGGCCGTCGAGAACCTCCCACCGATTGTGCTCGGCATACCGACCGGAGAGTTGAAAAGGGACTTGGGAAACCATCGACATGTTAGACGTGATGACAATCGTGAAACGTACGGTCGGAGGATAAATAATCCGAGGCTGGTTTTACCAACGAAACCGAGATAGCAAACAAGACTTCACCATCGTGTGCGGCGACCGACCTTTTAGTGCTTATTTCAAACAAAGCATGGCGGGGTTCAGGCGATGTCCAATCGGATTGAAATCGGCATAAATTGTCGGGCCTTGCTAATTAGGGAATAGACCATCTAGTTAAGTTTAGTGCTGTAGGTCTCATAAAAAATTGGGGCATATCTGCTCGGGAATATTCATGATAGGAGTCCACCTGCTGGCAAACGGCGATCAAAATTTGAACTTGCGTCTTGGTCGGGGTGCGAAAGATCCTCGGAGGTTACCAGGATTGGAAATGGCCGAACCTTTTGCATGCTAATTTTTGCATAATCTCAACCTTGAGCTGAGGACTATAGCCCAATGTCTTGAAAGCCCGACTAATCAATACACCTTTTGCCGGGAGAATCACTGTGATCTTATTAAGATGCCTTCATATATTGACATATCGAAGCTGAGCGCCTGGTTGTCCAACAGTACGATGGAATTATCCACCGGGGATTGGAAAATCATTGGTTCTCTTGCATTGTACATTGTGAGTATTTCAATCTTCTTATGAGGACCGACTACCGTTCATTCTGACCACATAAAGCTTCTCGGTCACAGAATCATAACATGGGTATACAACCTGTGCTTTCATCCCTTGGCCGATTTTCCAGGACCTTTTCTGGGTCGTGCTTCTCTGGTAAGTCCAATCGCTGGAGAAATTCAACTCTGTCGGTGTAAAATGGCTTGTCGGTTACATGGTCACTTAGCTTTGGCGATTTATTCATACATCGACTGGGAACATACATCTCTCTACTGCAGACTTGCACCAGAAATACGGTATGCTGCCCTCTATCCCTTACAATAAGAATAAGCTAAGCTGTAAAAAAGGCCCAATTGTTCGTATATCTCCCAATGAGCTGTCTTTTGGCTCTGTTGAATCCTGGAAGGCGATATATGGGCACCCGACTCTTCAAAAGCCTATGCCTACCAAAGCCGCATTCTATGAGGTGTTCAGTGCCGGGTTCAGAAGGCGGTGCATCGGTAGTGAGCGAGATCCTCACAAGCATAGTCAAATGCGTAAGATGCTCTCTCCTGCATTCTCCCAGCGAGCCCTTCTTGAGCAAGAATCAATCATCGGCGGAATTATCGACAAGTTCATCCAGATTATTGGGGAGAAGGCCGGCCCCGGGTCAAACGGCCTCAACATGACGAAATGGTTTGAAATGGGCTCTTTCGATATCCTGGGGGAAATGGCCTTTGGGGAATCGTTTCACAGCTTGGAAAATGGTAATCACACTTTCCAAATTCATATTAAATACTGCTAACATGTTTAAGGAAAACCGCATTTCTGGGGAGATCTCATTGTGGAACACCTCTACCTGATTACCCTTGCGGACAACCTGAGACGAATTGGAATTATTGCAACCCTTTTTAAATATCTGGTGCCTTCGGCGCTCCTCGTGCAGAACCAAAACTCCCGTTACAGCCGGAATCAGGTCGAGAAGTGAGAACGTCTCTGCTATCAACAAACATTTTGTAACATTTATCTCGCAGATGCTTGGCTTCCACATCATCGCGCAAGGACTTCGTGACCTTACTGGCTCAGAAGGTCCGGGAAGGGGAAGTGGATAAAGAGGAAATGGCAGCTCATGTCTCAACCTTTGCGTAAGTTTTGAATTTTGAGCTCTTGTTACCGGCTTTCCGAAATATCCTCAAGCCCTCAACACTATTCACCCTGGCTAGTATCCAATGCGCTGATTACCTGGAGCTAGTATTGCCGGAGGTGAAACGGTTGCAACATTTTTGGCGGCGACAACCTGCTTTCTACTTCAACACCCTGACAAACTTGAGCGTCTCGTATCTGAAATCCGTGGAGCTTTTGCATCTTACGAGGAGATCAACGCCCAGGCCGCACAAAATCTGCCGTATCTGCAAGCTATAATCAACGAGGGTCTCCGCCTGTGCCCTCCTGGCTCTCAGGGCTCTCCCAGGGTTTCACCAGGCTTTGAAATTCACGGCAGATTTATCCCCACAGGGGTAAGATATGTTGTTCTCTACCATTCTGTCTATCAAGTGCCTAACCCTGCGTTCTCAGGTGGATATCTACACCAGCCCTTGGACAACTGCACACGATCCCAAATATTTTGCTGACCCAATGCATTATCAACCTGAACGCTGGTTGAATGCCGATTCAACCGATGTGAAAGAAGCAAGCCAGCCTTTCTTGATAGGCCCCAGAGCATGTATTGGTCGAAGGTCAGTATTTGCTTCCATTTGCACTTATTATTGCTCACCTTGTCTTGCGAGCCACGAGACATTCAGCCACTGATACATATATACTGACTTTGTACATAGCTTTGCATACATGGAGATGAATTTATTTCTGACTAAAATGCTCTGGAAGTATGACTTGGAGCTCATGAATAAGGATCTCGACTGGCTGAAGGAGGGGAAGGTTCATGTACTATGGTGGAAACCAAAGTTGATGGTCTGCTTTCACAAGCGGCAAGATCTCATAGTGTAATTCAAAGGGCTTGGTAGGATTTGCCGATGCTTGTACGCTTCCGATCAGGACAATCTGTGATCAGAGTTAGTTTGGCTAGGTAGCGACTATTGAACACATCTAATTTGACTGTATCAAATGTGATTTGATACATGTATATCTGCTGGCTGATCACGAACAAACAACAAGAACTCGAGTTTCTGTCTATTCTGCGGCAGAACCCTTCAAGACTTCGTGCGGAATCTCATATTTCAGTAGGCCGACCAATCTGGGTGTTATCTGGATCTAGAATTAAATGGATGGTTCAATTGTGGCGATTACTTGACTTTGTTGTGAATGTGCGGGCACAATTCTTGTGTGAATGTAGATGCTACCTATATGACTCAGGAGATGGTGACATTCACAATAATATGACAGATGACTATAGCCATCAAGTAGAGGAGCTACTCCGCTGGTACCGACTGAATTCAGCGTCAATCAGATCCCAAGTCTCTGAACGGAGGTATGCATGAACCCAGTAATTATCGTTGTCATCTTTCCCATAAATGACAAACGTGTCTCGCGGATTATCGGATTTCCCTATGGTTGTTCCCCAGTATGAGACGCAACTGCTTTTACGAACAGTGGGACTAAGAATATGATGATTCTCAGTGACTGCAGGAGAGAAATTTGCCGACTCGGCCAATTTGGCTTTTGACCAGTTTGTGAACGCAATGATCCTCGAGGCGGGATCTCCGAAGAGTGGCATAAATCCGGTGGATTTGATCGATGCTTTCATGATCCTCATGAGCCTGCGGGCTTGGATATCCGTAGTCTGCTCGATGATAGCCTGACGAAGGTGTAGGGCGATCTGACCAAGCGATGTGTTTGATTTTTCTTGTGCGGATAGCAGAACGGAAGCCGGAAGGATGAGATTTTGGAGATATGCCCCCCCAGGGGTGAACACATTCTTGAGCCGACGGCGAATGTCAAACACATTGCATATAATCGCGGGCTTTTTGCGTGGGGAGGATGACATGACCATTTGAGAGCCCCAGGCAGTTATAAGGTCACCATCGCTCAAGAACGGGGGACTTCTGGTCTGTGGATCGATTGGTAATTGCCTTTCTGCTGTTTCACGCATATTGCTCAAATACCTTGCTGGAAGAAAGATTGTACGAGATTGTACATTTCTTCTCGTCAGCAGGTCCCATACGAACCGGACAATAAAGGAAAGTAGCGAGAGACCTTTGATTTGCCTGTGTTCCAAGAGATACGGCTTCTCAGTCTTTTCATCCTCCAAGGTGCCCACGTTGGCCATAACATCTTGGCTTGCCCCATGTAGAGCCGGTATACAGTCATATTGACCAGCCAAAATGGTTGACCAGGCACGCAATAACTCGGCTGTCCCCATGACGTCGCATACTAAGTGCGGGAATGTGATGGATACAAGTGTCGCATCGGTGAATGATGTTACGTGAAGAGATATGAGTGGCTCATCGGTAGTGTAATAGTGTTCAATATCGCCAGGCAGGTTGTGAGGAACACTGAGGGGAAGGAATGCGTGACACCCTTCCTGGACTGAGGGATAGGGGCCTGTCTTCTTGGGTAGGTGATTTCCCAATGGGTGTTCTTCTATCCGAATACCAAACTTGACATGGGAAAAGCGAACAGCGGGACGGTTGGAGTCAAAAACTGTTGGCACAACAATCACGATATCTCCACTTTCCTGCAGAAGGTCGGTCAGTAGGTGGAATCTCAAAACCCGGATTGTTTTCTCCTACTGTTCGGCGAAGGCGACCACCTAGTTTTCTCCAGTCTCCTATTTCAAGCAATTCGACCAGGGAGCTATGTAGCTTTGAAGGACTGAGAATGTCGTTGAACCGCAACGTGTAATTGATGATAGATGCACGTATGAGTCCTGCCTGGTCTATGAAATGCACTGGGAAGACATGGCCAGTCTCGGAATGATACGATTGATCACTGCAACCTACTTTGAAGCCACAGAGACTCCACAGAGACTTCAACATAGTGTGAGAGAGAGGCAGAACAATCTTTTCCCTTGCCCATCTGGACCTCAAATATACATATTTCTACATTACGGTTTGCCTCACTCTCCGTTATCACGGGCTCTTTTTTCTAATGTTATATGGCCTAATATGGCTCTTCCGAACAACAAGATTCTACCAAAAACAAAAAAATTACAATGGATAGAGAGTGGCTAAAAGCAGAGCCGAGAAGTGGGCCTCGGAGATATCCTAAACGGGAAAGAAACAATCAACCCAGTGGAGACGCTGAATTAGGTGACTTCCGAAATCACCTCAACTACTGGGCGATCGTGGTATTCAAAATTCAATGGCCACAGATATTCAGACGTAGTGCCATAGATATAGGGAGTTCATATCTGGTCGTGCATGGGCGGATGTTTTCTATGTTGTATTTTGTCTCTAAATCGCAAAGCTCTTTCAATATCGCTCGTTAATGGCAAATCCGAAGTACGCCTTAGCCGTTGACTGGCTACTTGGGCGCAAGTTTATCCAAATCCTTGATAGTGATGTAAGATTCTTAGATCTTGCGATAGGAATCGTCTTCGTGCTGTTCTTCTATGGAACTGCCTTGACGGTGTACCGTCTATACTTCTCTCCTCTTGCAGGTTTTCCAGGCCCAAAGTTGGCAGCTGCGACAGAATGGTATGAATTCTACTACCAATTGGTCAGGGATGGACAGTGGGGAAATAAAGTGGAAAAGTTGCATAAGAAATATGGTAAGACTTCACACGCCACAAGGTGATCAATGTTTACTCAACTCTCGGAAAGGTCCGATAGTACGCATTAGTCCATGGGAGCTATCCATCCGCGACTCTGATTTCTACTACGAACTCTATGTCGCAGGGTCCACACGCCGGACGGATAGTTGGGCTCGAGGCAGAGAGGGCAACGGATTTGATGGCATGTCTTTCATGCAGCAAGGACTGGGATTTGAATGAAGCTAACAATACAATCGCACAGATTCTCACCATCTGTCTGTATCTCACGACCTCCACCGCCAGAGAAGGAAAAACATTGAAACGTTCTTCTCGAAACAAAACGTCAATCGCTTTGAAGATATTATTGTGAAGAAGGTCCAGCTTCTTGACGACCAATTTGAGAGGCTCAAAGGAACTGGATCTATTGTTCATATCAATCATGCTTTTACAGCTCTGACGGGCGACATTATCGGACATGTTGCTTGCGGAGCGCACCCTGGCCTTGTTGATGATTCGGATTTCTCTCCCGGATGGTAAATACCCAGAAAGAATATTCCTATGCTTTGAACGTCAACTAAGTTTCGATTCTGCAGGCATGATCTCATGGTCAAAACAGTATTGGTGGCGCCCTTATTCCGGTGTTTTAGCTGGTTGAACAGGTACTTCATGAACCGATGCTAATTCCCTCACGCAAAGTATCTAATAGATTGCAGACTTATTCAACTACTTCCATCCTCGCTCCTAAAGCGGCTTTACCCAGAAGGGATCTCAAATATGATGGTGGGAGCAGTAAGTTCACAGTTTCAATCAACGACTACAGCGCGCTGATGACCTACGAGATGGGCAGAGAGTATATCAAAAAAACCAAGCAGCGCATCCAGCAAGAAGACTTGGGTTCGAATCAATCCAAGCTTTCGGTTTTTCATCATCTCCTGACCTCCAACATTCCCGAGTCTGAGAAGTCTACATCGCGCCTTCAGGCGGAGGCAATGGTAATTCTCATTGCAGGGACCTTCACAAGTGCACATGTACTCGCCATGATTGTGTATCACGCTCTTTCCGATCCGTCGATTGAAAGATGTTTGCGAGAAGAACTGAAAGTCATCATGTCGAGCTATCCAACTCGAACCCCACGTGTGGCCGATCTTGAAGGAATTCCGTATCTCCAAGCCTGCATAAAGGAAGCGCTTCGGTAAGTTCGCTACACCGCGACCCTCCAATGAGGCGGAAATCCCGTGGGTGTTATTTGCAGAATTGATTCAGGCTAACCTATCCCATCGTAGTCTGTACGGGCTTATAGGAAATCTGCCGCGGTGCTCTCCCGACGTGGCACTTCAGTATAAGCAATGGACTATACCACGAAATGTATTCAAGATCCCTCAAGCTTCGTTCAAGAAGTCTAATTGCTGACTGGAACTTTCAATAGACCCCTGTGGGTATGTCAATTTACTACATGCACACGCACCCCGATGTTTGGCCAGAACCTCTGAAGTTCATGCCGGGGAGATGGCTCGGGCATTATAACCCCCAGATGGACCGACACTTTGTCCCTTTTACGAAGGGATCACGCAGCTGCCTAGGAATGAAGTAAGATTCTCCTTCCACACTGAAAGTCTAGTTGTTGTCAACTTCTGACGCTGAACCTTTTAGTCTTGCGATGGCCGAGCTATATCTTACTACTGCTATCCTGTTTCGTGAAGATGGACCAAAGCTATCACTTTTCGAGACTGGTGAGTCAGATGTTCGATTTGTTCGTGACTTTGTGATGGGCTTTCCTAAGCATGATAGCCACGGAGTGCGGGTCTTAGTGGATTGAAAAGAACGATGCAAAGGTCGATGGGTGATTCCGATGAGATGATGAAGTACTATGTATGAAAAGTTAGGAAATTCAGTTTTCTGACTTTTGTCATGTCTGGCTGCTATTTCTTTTCATTACTGATTTCAATTCATTTGTGACCGCACGATGTTGCGTTAGCTGGGTAACCTTTAAATGAACAAAGTTTGCTCCTGAGAAGGGAGATTTAGTTTAGTTGTGCAAGACCGCCAGACATACTCAGATCTAAATAGATAAAGTATCGCAATATGGTTACTTCAAAGTGACAAATTCGGGTAATTTGGAGTACTTGATAGGTAGGAGGCAAATATATGCAACAGTTAGGCACTATGTAAACCAGAAAGGAATCAACATTTCCTAGACAAGACTTGATATGATTCTCGATCATTAGATTACTCATCATATCTGAATAACCTCGTTTAATCGGTCTAGAAGTGTAAGCGGTATATGCGGTCAAGTGAATGAATTGGTGGAGGTACAGTCCCTAGCCTCACTACCCTCCGTACCCGTCCCTACCTCAACCTCATATCTGGGGCTAGAGCAGCCGATCAGTGGACCGAGTTAACGGTGACCTTCACATGTCTGTGGATCATAGCGTTTCCGCAGTCATTCCATTGGACCGAAGACTCATCCGTGTTATAAAGGCTCATATCCAACTGTGCGAAGAAGTTGCCAAGACACAGATATAGCTCCATCCAAGCAACGCTAAAAGGAAGTCAGCAAGACGATCTCAGAGCATGATCAACAGAAGAGGATACCCACGTGAGACCGATACATGACCTGGAACCTTTGCCAAATACGACCAGCCAGTGGTCCAGGCTGTCATTTTGGAGCCATCTCTCAGGGATGAAGCTTGCAGGGTCGGGGAATATATGTGGGTTGTCGTGGATGGCACGAATCGCGATTGATACGGACGTCTGCGTAGCAATGGTCAGTAACTTTCAATGATGGCAGCCCGGGCTTGATGGGCATGACTTACTCCTTCGGGCAAAAAGTGGCCAGCCCAAGTGATTCCACCCGCTGGAACAACGCGTGGAATAACTCCTGGCACGGGCGATGAGAGACGAAGCGATTCTTTGATAACTGCAGTCTGGTTTCGGATATGAGTCAGATATGTGGTCCATTCCGAAGCAATCCTCTTGCCACGAAGACAGATGACAAGGTGGGTGCTCACCAGATATGGCAGCCTGCAGATGTCACGATATTCCAGCATGCCTTGAGAGTTCTCTTTCACTCCCTTGAGCTCCTCTAAGAGCTGTTCCAACTTCTCAGGGTTCTTCAGCAAGTAATATGTGGCCATGCTTATGGTCAAACTGGTCGTGTGAGTCCCAGCAAAACAGAACGAATAAGTCTCGTCAACAACACTGGCTTTGCGTAATGGGGTGGAACCGTCTTCTGGCTGCAAGAGAAGATCCAAAATCGTCTTTCGGCCATCCTCGGCGGTTTTGATCCCTTGTCTGTGTTTGTCCTCTCTCTTTTCAATCCACTCGGTAACTTTCTGCAGGTATGGTGATCAGGGTCTTGGGACGAGCGAAAAAAAGGGAAGGGATAGGGTTGACTGTACCTTTCGGAACTGAGCATCGCCAGGGACAAGCCACTCTGATAATCTGGTGGGCATATTTGCAGCGAGCATAGTCAAGATGGGAATGTGCTTCATGAGAAAGAAGTTTGCCGAAAATGTGCGAAGGGTGGCCATGAACGGCGGCTCTTCCTCTTCAGCTTCAATGAGATAGAGTTGTTCATCGCAGAGCACTCTCATGATTGTATCGATCTAATATAGAAATGAAAGAAGTTAGTCTTAGTTGGAGTGAGCATCGTACACCACAAATCCCCAATTCTCTTACCGTAACTCCCGTGTACAGACGCTGAATATCCAACGGTTTTTTCTTCTCGTGAGACTCTGCCGCCTTGTTCAATGCGCGTTTGATAACACCAAGCACAATTGGGGCCAATTGATCTATCGACTTGGCTGAGAACAAGGAGTTGATCATTCTGCGTCGTCGTTTGTGATAATCAGGGTCAACGAGCGCAGGGAGCGCCTCACTGATTCCGCCCGATGTCTGGAAGAAGTGCGGATCTTTCAAATACAGTGACCCAGGCGAGTAGACCCTGTTATGCGGACTCGTTAATATCTTGTCGGTGAATTGCGTGTTGAGAGAGAACTTACTCATGAAAGAAGTCAGGGTCATTCACGTGAATCCGATCTGGGCTCACTCTAACAACAGGTCCTAGTCAAATTCTCAGCGGAAAGTTTTGTTTCAATAGGGTAGAAGTTTGGCTCACCATATCTGGCATGGAGTCTTGGATACTGTTTGACATAGTTTCCACCAAGAACAACATCTTGATAAAACTCATACCAACTCGTCGCAGCCACGTACCACGGCCCGGGGATTTTTCGAAGTGGATGAATAAACAATCGGTATATGACGAGCGAAGAAGAGTACAGTGTTAAGGCCGCTGTGATGGTAAGAAGCACACGGCTAATACTCCATGGGAGTACCAGTTCAAATTCCATGGCGGACAAGCGAGGTCTGCGGTCGTGAAGTTACCAGGATTGATCAGCTCATTAGAAAAGAAACCCTCAACTGAGGCAATCTCATTCTCTATATTAAACTATAGATGGCGATTACCATGAGGCTGCAATCTCGGAGGGTTCCTTTTCAGGCGGAAATCTCAGTGGGGTCTGCCAAACCCAATTAGGGACGGCAAAGCACATTCGGGACTACCATTTTAGGATGGAGTTCCCATCGAGCCCGAGTCCATTATTGCTTGGTCGTCGGAGATAGTTTTGTTCTGAATGGTTCCAAGCCCCTTCTGCACCCAAGACATGCCCAGATTAGAGGATTTGCTTGAGGCCCCAAGGATGTCCTGTGGCTTTTTGCCACGTGCCCCTTACGTTTTGGTGTTCTTTAGAGTTCCTGGTTGTCCATCGTCCCCCCATACATAAGGTACTCCTTTGGCGCCCAGGTGCCAGCTGTGAAGCCCATTCTTGCCCCGAAAGGACTACGTAGTAGAGGATCAAATTAATCACCTTGTTTCCCGCACTAATTTATCCATTCTCTCTATTTATTTTTAACGTGTTATTATAATCAGATAACCCTATTCTTGATCTCCGTTTCTATTTCAAAAATATCCCTGTTCTTGTACTCTATTTGTAATGTAAGTGTTAGAGGTGAATATAACAAAAAAAATGCCAATTCCTGACCCCTTTCCTGAGTGAGTGTGAGAGGTTGCTTCCAATCATGGTGTGGTGAAAATTATCATTGTGCATAGATCGACCCTTCACTGTGACCAAGCTTAGCTGATCCCGGCAGCAGAAGCTACCTGAAGATCCGGTCCCTCTCTTCATTTATTCGGTCTTGCTTTTCAGAGTCCATAATGAGTCTCATACGCAAGATCATCCCAAGGCTTCTGTTGCAATTGGGTTCTGTCACAGGATTGACGATTTGTCATTCATACAGCATCTCTCAGACGTAGGGTAAGATCCGCCAATCGTGGTGGAAGTATCCAGGACTTCAGACTGTCACCCGAACCAGGGTTAAAACTGATCAAGTGCGTCATTTGTGGCACTCATCAAATTCATCAACGTCCCCCGTGTCCGTTGGTCAATCTGATGAACTCTTGAAACGTGATTGTTCCAGCCGCAGTGTACCGCTATATCCTTCAACTGCATCAAAAGATTTCGCAGCACCCGAAGCTGAATCTCAACAAGACGGGCAATGAGAACGGCTTGCTCTTGTGGCGACTCAACGCTGTACCGGCCAATTTTCACCCTATGAATGACTTCAGATTCTTGACTGCCAGAGACCGTCCTCTGATGGCGCAACCCCGGACAAGATGGATGATCATATTTTAGCGTGTCCAACAAGATATTCAAGATGTTTTCGAATGAGCAATGAAGCTTTTCGCAGACAGTAATCAACAACATGGAGATTGCAGAAACCTTTCTACACCCGTTGCACTTAAGAACGCCATTGCTTTCACGCAACACACTCTGTTGAAAAGACAAAAAGTCTTCGGAAGTCATGTTTGCGGTTTTTCGGGTCTCGACTTCTTCATGTAACAGGATCACTGTCTGCATGCATTTGCACGGTTGTGATTTGGATCCGGAAACCGATCCTTCCCTCTGGTTCAATGTGGGTGCTGATTGGGGTCGTTCACCATTTCCGAAAGAGTGTACATATCGGTCATCATCCGGACGGTACTTTTGTTGACTGAAGGCCTGGTTAGTGGACCGTGATGATAGATATGATGGTGGCGACGTCATTAACTCGTCCAACGAGCTCCCTCCGTGGTCAGACTTTTCCAAAGCTGAATTTATGGGGCGCAAATGTGGTCTCGAAGTACGCGAGTCTGACGTGCTTGATCTCACGGGCACTTTATCATGGCTGCTGTGTCCCACCGGAGACGGAATCGACGGGAAGTGGAGGTCACAATCCAACGGGTGGTCTGCCTTTTCAAAATAAGACATACAAGATGGTCGATCATGGCTTCCCTGTGAATGACAGCCACTTCCGATTGAGAAATCGGGATTTGGGCCCGTGAAACCAGAACCTATATCAAAAATATTGTGTGCATCGAAAAGGTCAGGATCTGTCGTCGATGCGAATGTTTCGAGGTCTGTGTCGATGTACTCGAGGGGCGGGAGTGTTTCAAGGGCAGATAAACTCGGGCGGGGAACGTTATTTTTTTGATCAGGAGTCATGATTTGGTTTCCGTCTGGTAGTACACGCTCTTGATTTCCGGCAGTACGTGAGTTGCTTTTGGAATTGACATTGGAGGGCGACCCAGGTGCAGGGGCGGAACGGTTGGCCAAAGCTTGTCTTTTGGTTCGTCTGTGTTTCTTGCTGGTATCATCGGCCAGGTAGGTGCAGGGTATCTCTCGAGATCGACACCGATCACAGCCCTCTTTGTGTCCGGTACACTTGAGCTACAGCAGAAAACACAGTAAGTTAGCAGTTTCTCATCTATCTAGTGAGATGACTTGCACATGCTTTTCTCGAGCGACACGTATCGCAAGCGAATCGCTGTTGATTTGAGCGCTGACCCGGAGGCTCGGTATTGCTTTTTATACAGATAGCTGCGTGGTCACCGATCCTTAACGTGGAAAACATGAAGAACTGTGAGCGATGCACATGGATTCGGAGGAAGTCAAAAGGAACTTTTGAATTCTACCTGGGGAGGACAAGGACAAATGTGGCCCCGAGGTCAGCATGCTTGCCATCTAGCTCGTATATACGCCTTGGTGTTTTCGGCCCACTTCCCTGAACTAGCATAAATATAATATCGGGTAAATGAACAATTATTCAATATTGTATTGCTAATTAACTCATCGATCGAAATTGACAACCCAGGTAGCATTGACGGACCTCCATATATGACTTAAGCGAGGCCTGGAGATCGCTCACTCCTCCGTCGAAATAGCAAACTTGCTCAAAGCCCGAAGCCTCGAGCCGTAGAAATAAAGTAGCCAGATTCCAATAATTCCAATAACACTCAGTCCAATGACATGACCAAATTACTGGTGATACCGTTATCTTTCATCAAATATTCCGGCCAAAGGGGGGAAGAGGGACCAAACAAGCGGGACTTTTCCTACCAGTGGCTGACAGCGGATTGCCCCGCTGGTACTGATTAGTGCATGGGGGGGCAACAAGTACGAGAGACAAGACTTGCACCACTTAGTGTAACCGCATCACGCTAGATCCTACTGGGGGGTACATTGGAGGTGGATACGCCGTAGGATCGTGGTTGCTATTACTACTGCACACTAGCACTGGCGAAGCAAACATCTATTCCCGCGCATATCTAATGTTCGGAATTGCACCACAATGCTTTGGGTTACGATATCCATAGTAATTGTAAGTTTCTCGCAACTTCCCACTCCATCTATTGATACCAATTTTATATTGCTTCTCAATATGGCGCCAGGCAGCCAATGGCCCCCGCTGTCAGGGGCTTGAGACAATTCTGCACCTAACACTAACAAGCGCATACTCGACTCCAAGTATGATGTATGCCAGTTACTGAACCATATCAGTAACTCTCTCAAAGTCCTCAGGCCGGTGTTGGAATACCTGAAATCTGTTCAGGGACTCATCCCCGATCTCATCAAGAACCCGGTGGGCCAGGATAGCAGCAATCAGCAATTCGGCCTGATCAACCAGCGAGCTCCATGACCTGCAATTTCACTCAGGAGCCGTGCGTGAATCCTGGCCCCTACTCCCCCGGCACCTGCTGTAAGCAATACAGAAACTCAGACGATTGGATACCATTGATTGTTTACACATACGGTTACTCCGACATAAGTCATATTTTATAAGCACATTATCCACTCTATTCCGCTTTTGCTCTTATCTTAGCTCTGTGGTGCACAGATTCGGACCCGCTAGGTGTAGATTTCATGGTGCAGGGATCAATTTTGTGAATCACGTCTTTGAGATCAGACCAAAAGACCCGAGAACGTCGACTCTTTCCTTTCCGAGACAATTTGGACAGGTATGACAAAAACAACCTTGTCTAGCGTCGTGGTCCGGCGTCGGGTTAGGCTTTGAGCGGCAGGCGGTAGCATTAAGCATAATGGAGTCCGCTGATCTGGTGCGATCGAGACTTCAAATTGAATTTGAAAGCCTCTTCCGGTGGGCCGAAAGTGATCCTGCGCTTTGTGTTGTCTCAATGATGCCACGCCGTCTCGTGTAGACTGCATAGTGATTAATTAATGGCAACCAATGCGAGCTCTTTGGTGAGACATGAGAATTTCATGAGAATTTATCTTTTCTGTTCCCTTGTGAGCCACAGTCGGGGCGCCGCCGAACCTTGGGTGGATTGGAGACAACGGTCTGTGTATGGCACACATTTTACCCCCACCAGACGGGATCGTCCAGGATTGCCGTACGGCTGAACTATGACTTTCAAGGCTAATCATTGTCATGTGGGTCAGGACTCGAGAAGTTATTTGATCCGCCGGTAAGCCGGTCCGTATACTCCGAAACACCCCTCAGTAAGTGCAGTATGGGCTTGCTAGATCCTGTAAAGCATTTATCTTCTAGGCTATTAGATGGCTGATATCTACCATCCTAAGCAACCTTATGAAGTTCTTATGCTTCTGTCGAGATAGCACCTTAGTGAGTCTATCGGTAACCATACTCGCTTAGCAACCCATTTTACCTTAATGCGTCCCTCTCTAACCTCTTATCTCAGCTAGTAGCGATAAATATCCATATATCGAAGCTTCGTTTTATATGCTATATCCTCACTTTTTAATAGGTTTATAGTCCTCTCGTCATTATATATAACTAATAGTAAAGGTATAGGAGGGGATAAAGCTATGGTATTAAGTGTTACGATCTGGCAGCTAAGTGGAGCCGTCAGTGTGACGATCTGGGAAGGGTCGTACTTACCAGACAGGCAGGAACGACCACGCCCTCGCCCTCGCACCTTCCCAGAATGACAAACGAGATTAAGCGAGACAATTGCGAGTTTTGCATCGAATACAAACTCAAAAGCTAGTAGAAGATGGTTGCTACTTTTCTATTCTATAACCTTTATATTCAAAAGCCGTATGGTAGGAGCTAAGGTCTCTACGAAGCTCTATAGTTTAGAGCTAATGATATTTCTACTTAAGGGGGACCTATCTGAAGGGAAAGTCTTTCAAAGACTTTATGCTCTTCCTGGTAGTTTTCGATGTGGCAACCATAGGTGAGGATACGTGGCGGATGACGACCGCGTGCTTCTCCGTAGAACAGGATCTCATTCCAGGAAGGGATATAACGAGCAATCAGGCGCTCTAGGTGAGCATATAAATTTCGGTGGCTGTGCGGGTGTAGATTATTGACATAAGAGGTGATGCGAACATCGGGTGTGTGATGAGGCGAGGAAGTAAATTCTACCTCACATGGCAGCCACTGAAATCGATTGGACCAACAACTCTTCTGTTCATCCCTGTGACGCCTAGCATGGCGCCGGGGCCTATTATGGCGCCTACGCGTTTGTTCAAGGGGATGGACCGGCAGCTCTTTCGCAGTCTGTCCGGTCAAATGCCAGGGGTCATCAAGAGATACCTGTCCGCCTTCGACCAACACCGGGGACCGGTCATAGACAAGGGGGAACTCGAATGGATCTACCAGAGGAGAGTCGTGACTGGCTTGCGTTCCTAATCGGGCTACCTCTGTCTGGATATCCTTTTGCGGCAGTGGCACATTAGCCTGGCATACAGCAGAAGAGCTGTCAAATACTAGCAAACGGCCGGTTTCTTGCCAGGTCTGCGCCTTGTCCCGTAGCTCTGCGATGCACCAATCCCAGGCTGGTGCACTGATAAGAGACTCTTCACTTGCTACTGCCTCTTGGTGCCATTGCGCGAGCCGAGGTTCATCCGGATCCAGCAGCGCTTGGTCCCACCCGGGCTGTTCCGTTATATGTTGCATAAGTCGGATCATGGTCATCTCGCGCTTTGTCAACCGGGGCGAATGGCGATATTCAATTAGCGCATGGGCAAAGCGGGTCGCGGTGGGGAGCTCATAGTCCAAGGGAATGGAGCCAAATCCAGGGACCTGGAGTGGACCATCGGTGTTGTTGAGACTTGACATTATTGAGCTTTCTGTTCTGTTGAAGGCAGGGCTCTCATAACTATATAAAGAGAGAAGAAGGCAAGAGAGGCAAACAAGTCTAGCCCTGACATTTCCCAATCGGGTTTTATCGCCGTGCGGGGTGACATGTGAGTGGACTAGACGACCTCGGGAATAATATACAGATACTAATCGCGATAGAGATATTACAACTAGAATATGAGGACCTGTGGGATTGAGGCCGAAAATGACCGCTTTTGAGGCCAGAAACGGCTGCCTTTCCACCCGTAATTTTGGACGTCCAGCCGCCGCTTGGCCGCCCACTGCCCTGTAACACCACTATTCTGCACCCACCCTGTACTTTTAGTCATCCTCCGGTCCTGATGTTGACGCTCGACTTGCACAGTTGTTCCCCTCGTTTCCACTGGCGACCAAAACGACGCCGAAAATGGCTCCCCTCCCTTTTCGCCCAGTCCATTTGAGCGCCTATAAGATGCATCGCCTTCCCTCCCTTCCGGTGTCATTGCACCTCCCATTTTCTCACCCTCGTTGCCCACGCTTCAAGGCGACCTTGACGTTGTCGTTTCCCATAACACAAATTTTCCACCCTGGACTTTGTATCCGACCGCCTCCATGTTACCTGCGCCTGTATATCCGGCTTAAACTGACGAGTACCAATACTAGACCGATCCTATTCTTTGCGAAGAAACTCGAGCTAGACTGGAACATTTTCGCAGTCTTGGATGGCTCCCTCCAAACTTCAAGCCAAAGGCCTTGGAAGGTATTGCTGTCGTCGAACGTTATTGGCGAAAGTAAGTGCTTACTTGGTCGGGAAAAGTCTTGTGACTGAGAATAATAGATTTTGCATTTAATCGAAGGAGGATTATATGGACTATCTTCTTTTGGAGGATCAGACGATCTATATGAACTTTTTTGATTAGATGTTCAATACATCACAACATAAACTGCTTCAGTCGTATGATGAATACTGGCGACGCCTTTGTCAATACTTCGAGCTATTCGCCTGTCGCCGCGTCGGTGAGGATGCCCGTCAATAGATGCGACGAGTAAGTTATATCCTGTCTGTTCCTAAATAGAGTATACTTGCCCATAGGATAGGACCGTATAGCGCTTGGACGTCTAGTGGTATGTTTGTCAAAATATTCAAAATGAGGCTATTTCGCAGCGCCGATCGATTCTCCGAATTGTTTCTAATTGTCCATTTTCTGTCTCAACTCTTTTAACACAGCTTAAGCATCGCAGGGGGAAAAAAGCCAAGTTACTATCCAAACTGAATTTGAAATTGATCTTTTCCTCCAGTTCCAGCTCCCGCTCTAGGGAAGAGGGAGAAAAGCCGCAGGCCGAAGAACCCGCACCCAACTTAGCGCAGACCCGAGATGAAAGCGATAGACTCAATAAAAGGGATGTTGGTACTTGTTGCCATATTTTGCTCCCTATTCGCAAGGGTGGCACGCGCGGATTTACCTGGCACATTCACGTACCCCGTTGAGAACGGACTTGTTTTCTATGACGGAGAAACCATTGATGTCAGCTGGACATCGACGTTGAGCAATGCAAGCCTCACTCTCTTCTGCCGCAATGGGACTGAGACAAGCGGGACCACCTATCAGAGTATGATTTCCTGTTCTATCGGGCAACAAGCGGAAGAGCTCTGCTCTATCATACGCAGAGAATTGGATTATGCCAACGGCTTCCTCTTCACTGAGTAGTCTCGAATATTGGACTAGTAAATTCCATCGGCAGCACGGAAGTTTACGTCAACTTTCGCCAATCATCGGACTACTGCTGGCTCAATTTATACGAGACAGGCAATAATGCGGACGGTGTCAACAGCGTGACTTTCATCCTGTCCTCCGACTACCACAGTGAGACAACACTAGGCATAACAGGCGTGGCAACCACAAGCTATGCTGGGACTGGTGTGCCGACTGGTCCTGTCACAGCAGCGACAACAGCCACAGCGACAGCGACAACAACTACATCGACATCAACTACAGCGACATCAACAGGAACAGCCACAACCATAAAAGGAAGCGTATCTATCACCGCAACCGAAGCTGCCACAAATACTGCCACGGCGTCCTCATCCAGCGGCAATCTTAGTACAGGCGCCAAGGCTGGAATTGGGGCTGGCGTGGGCGTCGCGTCGTTGGCGGTCCTTGGGGCCTTTCTACTCTGGTTCTTAAGGCGGAAACGCGTGCGGCGGAACGGGCAAGATTTGTCCGAAGGACAGGAGGGAATGACTAAGGAGAAAGCCATGTTGTTGGATGCTGGAGAAACGGGAGGGGCTACAGGAACCGCATGGCAGCCTGAAGTGGTCCACGAAATGAGAGGGGACAAGGGTCGCCCGTACGAGCTCCATGCGAGCACCGGGCATACTGTAGAACTGGCTGGGTGAATTTCCCCAAATTTGTTTTATCAAATGCAGGGAAATATTTAGATACAAAGTTTTATTTTGACGTTACTAGGCCTCTTACTGGCATAATCTGCTGTGGTACGATGGCCTACACTCGTTTTGACAATGATACTAGTATTACGGTGTAGTAGTAGTAAATTCATTTGCCCTGCCTCCTCGCGAACGACAACCACAACACAAGGTACCGTATCCTATTATCCTCTTAAGAAAGGTCGCGAAGGGCAGCTGAGATATCGACACGGGCGCGCGGTATCATAAGCCCATATTTTTAGTTCCAATTATAAGCAGGTCTCAAACAGGCCGGCATTTTGTGTGCTCGTTCCTACTTTTTTTCCTCAGTGGCGTTTCTGTTGCAGGTACTACATCAGGTTGAATGAAATTGAAATTTGTTGCCTTTATAGGAGCTGGTTTCATGGGCTTTATGTTGCCCACATCGATTTTGCTTATAGATTAGATTCAAATGCGCGTGATTTTAGGTAGACAGTTTCGTTTAGCCATTAATAACCAACCGATACCATATTTTTTCCGTCTTTTAAAAAAAGAATGAACGAATTAATCAGGTTTTTTATACTGTTCCGATGTTTTGCTGTCGGATTTCCGAGAGACCTAATTGTTCAATCATTCTTTCCACAGTGCGATGGGACGATTATTTCGTTCCAGCCAGAGTAGTAGGTCATTGCATTGCTTCATCAAGGAGTAAGAAGCATATTCTAGCTATGATATCTCAGAGTGTTTTGCTCTCCGAGTTAGTAAACCCGCAATATGAACAAATGATTTCGTGCCTTCCGCTCTTGATGAAAAAAATATCCTTGGGGAGAAACCTGGGAGCTATTGAAAACGGATGTATATAAATGTGTAACGTAATTCTCATCTTTTGGTACATTAAGCGCATTTGGACAGGCAGGCTGGTTCTTCGTACAGCTATTTTCGCACAAAAGAGTGGCGAGATCAAATCAGGGGTTGCTATCGACACTCAACGCATCTGGGTGGTTGATGGCTTATACCGTAATATCGATGAAATCGTAGAATCTAGACTCCAAAGCGGAACTCCCGCACCTTCTTCTGGTAGTAGAAAGATGCTAACAACCCAGTGGCACCGAGAGCCAAAGGCATAGCAGCCCTAGCCTTTGTCTTAATAATCCTAGGGATCGCAGAGCTCAGAAGGAGGATGCTGTTTCCCAGGGCGAGCTCAGTGCCGTAGTCCTTGTTCTCTTTGATCAAATAACCTGGTAACATGGTCAGCTTCGGAATATTCTGGCACACCCATGGTACTTACCGGAATAGGCATATGATAGACCGAGTCCAACACCGGCAATCAAAGAAGGCGCTGACCGCGTTCGTAGAAACCCAACGGTACCTCCGATAGGCACTAGTTTTGGTCAGAAATATAGCAATTGGTCTCGTTGCACGGACTTACGAAGAGCTGCAAGGGTAAATGAAGGATGTTCGGCCATGATAGTTAAGTACTTAAAACAATGTAGTTGAAGGGTCTGATGCTTCAAAATTTAGAAAGCTCTCAAGTGCCAGGGGCGCGTAGATCCCGCTGGGGCCGAGCTCCGATGAGTCAGCGGAACACAGGACCTGGGACCATCGTAGAGAATCATTTTGTTAACGACAGCCATTTGTTATTGTCAATTCTCTAAATCCATCCAGAATTTATGGATTAATCATACAGTAGCATCATCATTCACTCTTATATACTGACCGTAACATTAATGATTTTATACTTTGATTCAGCTTGGGATCTAGGAAGGAGCTGTTGTTTCATGATCTCCATCACCACGCCACTCGCGTATGTCACTTGCCTCCTTTACATTCTATAATCCATTCCATTCCTGTAACAAGCACATACGACCATAGGGTGTGGAAAACAGGGCTTCCCGTCCGCTCAGCCGTACTTAAGCCACACGCCGGTGAGTTAGTAGTTGGGTGGGTGACCACCAGCGAATCCTCACTGTTGTATGTTTTTTTCGAATGCTATTTATATAGCAATAGTCATTATAATAGAACGGTAAAATGCGGTGCCCGTTTGAGTTGCCGCAGCGTCATTCGCTTCAGGGTTGCGCCGTAGGTTGTAGCAAACACAAACAGTTTGCCCTGACGCAATCAATTTCAACTTTTTTGTGCTTACTTTATGTTATGGTGCCGCAAGTCTCCCTAATCGCTGATGTCTGCCGCAATAGTGCCTTTGACCTTTGAAGTGCCTCGAGCGTATGGTTATAAAGTATGAGAGTATATGACCCTTCTCGATCAAATCTCTATTCTTTACAAAAAGAAGCAATTCATGCCAAACATTAAATCATTCTTTTGATATTATAGTTATAATTCGACAATCATGGAAAATCTTCCCACTACTGCGAAGACACACATTGTCCCTGCCGCCCAAGGCTACGTATTTGAGGTTATGAAAGGGGAGCGATTCCGCATTGTTGACATACACGGTCTCCAAATTGTTGATTTTATGGCTTGGGTTAACGAGCCAGGCCTAAAAGAGCATGTTCGGATGTCTTACACCAGGTTCCGACTGCAAGGTGTCAGTCCCGACATTGGGGAGCATCTCCGCACCAACCTCGACGCTCCTGCTCTGACTATCATTGCCGATACCTGCAAAGTCCACGATATGACATTCATGCCCTGTTTCCCGGAGATCTATGCTGAATGCGGTCTGGAAGGTCATCGGTCCTGCGCAATGAATATCACTGAGGCCATGGAGCCATATGGTATTACTTCACGGCTCGAGCTTCCTGACCCGTTCAACATTTTCATGAATTCGCCCAATTACACTTTGAAGCCTATCAGCAACAGCAAGCCTGGAGACTACATTGAGATGGAGGCGCTGAAGGACTTGATTATCGGGATTTCGTGCTGCCCTTATGATCTTGTGAGTCTTCTGTGATCAACCGAGCGTGAAGCTCAAGTATACTGACCTCTCATTTTCTCAGGGAACCTACAATGGAGACAGACGACCCCCATCGCGATTATTACAGGGTTGTAATGAGTACCGGTGCAGATCACCCATCGAGTGGAAGTATAGGCTCTCATTGGCTACATCATCATATCCAAGAGCCCCATATCATACTGAGTTGATCCTACGCAATGTGACAATAATCCCGAAATAATTGACTGGTGTAACCTGTTTCATCTGCATCCCTCGTAGAAATCAGTCTAAACAAATATAACGCGCCTATAATCCACACAAAAGCCTTACCATAATCAATGTTTTACTTAATCCAGCGTCCTTAGAATAAAAGCCCACAATTGCAGAAGTCCGGAATCTTTCTAACATTTTTAACGTCGTCTAATAGCAGTTAAATCTCGTAGCTTATAGACATATAAAGAGTAGAGAAATAACTGTCTAGCACTTTTTATGTCTCTATAAGTGAACTATATGGAAATCTTTCCACTTATATATACAATTTCCTGCTCTTCTTACTCTCATCTTTTAATTTAAGTAAGGTCGTGGTACAATATATAAATGTCATGAAGATAGCATAGCCGAAGATCAATATCCCGATAACTGAGAATCTGAACACCTAGTTAATTAAACGTGGTATTAGAGAAGTTTTAATCTAAAATCTTGATTCAAGATGTCTTTTTTGAACCTCTGTTTTAAAGTCTTTTCAGATGCTCTTTTATTATTTTTTGGATACCTGTACGTATGGTTTTTTGATGGATTTTTAAATGCCTACAAATATCTGTTTAGAAAACCAGCTGTAAATCAATTAACATTAAATACATGTTTCAAGTGACCTATTTCCAAGCAGAAACGTTCTTCTTCACAAACTCCTCCCACGTAGTAGGCTTACTATCGAGAAGGCTCAGGCTGGGCTCGAGGGGTTCTCCGAGGTAGTAGCCAGGCTCCTCCACAAATAGCTGGTTCTCAAGGTACTCATCAGCGATAGCAGCAGGAAGGGAGGCCTTGTATTGATCGGAAGAGACTTGGACGAAGACAGCCTTCTTGCCAGTCACCTTGGAGAAGGTGTCCACGATCTGCTCGGGGGTGTAGTACTTCGCAGCGGCCAATATCTGCTTGTCCTTCAGCTGGCCAGCGTGCTTTATGGCAGCTCTCACGAAGAGACCTAGGGGATATGTGAGTTAATACGTATAAAAAAAAAGAGGGGAGCTAGGAGAGGTCTCACCTGTATCCTGGGCCGCATCGAAGAGAGGGAATTGAGCCTGCTTTCCCACCGGGTAGAAAAGCTGGTATGACCCATCCTCAGCACGACTGAGCATCTGGGTGAAGTTGCTCATGTAGTAACCGGGAAGGACAAAGCTGCATCCAACGCCCGAAGCACGAATATACTTCTCGATATTGGCTTTGCTATCGAAATGAGGCACATGGCTCAGGCGACCCTTGGTCTCCTCCGTAACATGGTGGAGAGATGAGAAGATCAGGTGAGAAACACCAATAGCCTTGGAGACATCGGTCACATTCTTGCCCTGGGAGAACTCAATGTCGGGGTTCATAGTCTCCCAGTAGTTGGTGACGAGGAACACAGTGTGGGATCCCTTCAACGCCGCAGTGAGAGTGTCGACTGAGCCCAGATCGGCCTATTTGAATGTTAGTCTCTCTACCTATGATAATTATTCACAAAGACAAAGAGGAAGTGAAAAGAGTAAAACGAAATAAGAAATCCCATCTTACCGAGACAACATCGACACCGCGCTTGGCCAGGTCCTGTGCCGATTTCTTGGTGGTGTCGCGGGTGATACCCCGGATCTTGAATTCCTTCGAGAGCTGGGTATCGGCGAGAATGGCGTCGATGACGGAACCACCCTGGTTTCCGGTGGCGCCAAAAATAGTGATCAACTTAGACATGGTGGATAACTGATGGATTTAGCTTGGAGAACAGGGGAATTTGGGCAATAACACAGTAATACAGTCTGTGTGGTTTGGAGGTAGTATATCTCAGGTTGTCGAGGAATCGAGGATGCTTTTATACCAATGTCGAGCTGCAAATCTTGAATTTGGCCATAAGCGAATGAGCGCTCTCAGGCGAAGATATCGCCAGTGAATAAGCTCGGCGTCAGTTTGGAACCGATCACCCTGTTGCCCGACCCACCTTAGTAAAACCCCGCAGCAACCTTGGAACTTTGAATATGGATAGGTTGATCGGGATTCTGGACATCCGAGGACGTGGCAATGCCTTAGTAAAAGTGCACGGTTACCTACCTAGGATAGAATTATCGTAACGCCAGTTATATTGTCACCCCTTGCGACAAAGATCCACCGGAGAGAAATTACAGAGACTATTTTGCATTTGATTGGTCTCGAGGTGTTCCATCATCCCGGCCTTGAGGTCAGTCCCGAGCACTGAGCGTACGTCTCACATGGGGTGATGTATTAGGGCTATTATGTCATCTATCAGCTAATCCATGGATAGATGTAAGTTATCCATGGATTTCCTGAGGTCGACTGTTTTTATTACGATAATCAACTATATAACTAGTTAACTAGTTAATTAGGTACCTAAGTAAGTCCGTGGGTGATTATAACCCCGTACATGATGAATCAAAGTCCGAGATCCCACCGGGGACTTCGGGCCTCGGGATTAACCATAGATGTGAAGTACCTAGGTAGTCGGGGCTCAGAACAGACCCGAAGGACCGGGCAAAACCTAACTAGTTCAATGTATCGATCATATTCCGCTCACCTATACGGCAGCCCTCCTTTCCTACTGTATACCAGCTATGTGTCGGCAATGGATTGCCTGTAACGTTGTTATAGACCTAAATCCGACACCACGTCTCTGAAAATGTCCAAGGATGCGGCATCGACAGCCAGTAGATCCCCAGGTAAGTCCTCTAATTGACCCAACGTTAATGAGTCTGCAATTTCCATCTCGGTCAGGTTGAACCCAATGGAAGGAGCCAGTTCCGATCCACTTAGCTGACGAGTCCGAATCGCAGAAGCCCGTTTCATCAGACGTTCGAGTGGTCGCATTATCAGCCCATCTTTCTGAATTCTGGTCTCATTCCATCGCTCCCAAACCCGGTTTACAGCCGTCTACGCACGATCGGACAAAGAGGAGGTCGGGCGCACACATATTTCTGATAAAACAAACGCAAACGGTTGCCATTGCACATACCCCTGGAACAACCAGGACCATTTGGCGGTATTCTCATTTGTCTCAAGCAAATAGACAAACTCGAGGACCTCTATGGCCGTTAAGATAAGAACTTCGCATCGGTCGGGCCACTGGTTTGCATCGAAGCCTTGTGCGGTCAGGAGCGAGAAATGAGCAACCAGCCATAACCGTGCAAGTGCAACTCGTGCAATCGTTGCTGTGGCCCAATGGATAGGGATGCCAAGGTCGCAGAATTGGAGGTATCGTTCGTCAAGGAGCCGCTTGGACTCCTCTATTGCAAGATTGCGGTTTTGGAACAAGACGTTTGGGCCATCAGCCCCTGGGAATGTCATTTGCATGGACTTGCGACGGGAGATTAGGATCTCACAGCGGACGAGGGTCAGTGTCATTTCCGTGAAGCCAGTCCGTTCTTGTGGAATATTAACAAAATCGGGAGACAAGTCATCATCGTTTATGTTCAACGGCAATCGCGTGTCATAGTCCCCTTCCCGAATCTGGGGGCTCGTTGCTTGGAAGTCGCATGATTGAACATACAATAGATAAATGTACCACCAGACTCGGCGTCGCATTTCTGTTTCGTAGGGAGTAAGTCCAAAGTGACTGCCGTCACGATGTAGCCCTATACCAAGCCCAAGCCGGGTAACCACTGCTATCATCGTCCACACGAATTGAGTATCTTTTGGATTACAGGCACAGGTCAAGAAGAGGACAGCTGCCTGTAACACAGGTAATTTGTGGGTGTGGAAGAAGCCTGCACGGGCTAGTGCCTGCTCAACAGCGAAACGGTATCGCTTGACCACGACCGTATGATCTTCCCCTAACTGGGCGAGACATTTTTCTGATGTCATGCTCGAGACTGCAGCAAAGTACACGGAAAAAAGCAATGCCTCAGAGCTCCTATCAAGGTCCTCGGGATTTGTGCATGATGTTTGGATAAGGGTCCTCAACGCGGTCTTGTGAATGATCATGATTATGGGTGCTATGTTATCTTGGTAGACTTCCAAAAGGAGATGGCTGATGGTGGGCGATGGATGGTACGCATGTAGCGAAGAAACCGAAGAACGATGACCGAACATGAAGGGACTATGTGTTTCCGAGCATGCCGCACTAGAACCCGGAGATGAAGCATCTTCTTCAAACGATGGTGTCGGCGATGATGGGGAATCGAAAGCATCACGGAGTTCCTTGATCTTTAGAGACAATCACAAAACGAATTCAGTAAGTCGCTTGTAGAGCCTCGACTGGGTTAATATGGAAGGAGAGGGAGGCTTTACCTGGTCTCCTAGGTCTGTCAGAACCCGATGGTTCACGTACCGGCTTGTCCCATTGCTTTTGTCGATGACCAACCGTCCAAAGCGGTGTCCCGGTGTTGTTTCCGAGGTGTTGGGGGCGGGGGCTGGTGAAATCCGACCCCCATGAATGCTAATTACTTCCTCTTCGACCTCTTCAGCCTCCGGCTCTATAGGGGTCTTCAATGGCCATGATATCGCATTGTGGCCACTATCCAGGGTCTCCTCGACGTCCTTATATTCCAGATTATCCACAGGGACATTAACAGCAACGTTTTGTACGCCGAGTTTCTGGACTTCCTGCTCCAAGACACTTAATCGCGAGATCAACTCAGCCTTGGATGATTTTGTTGGTCTTGTTCGGGCCTTGCGCCCAGGCGGTGGAAATATACACTCGAATCCGAGCCTCACACAGTTATCGCACGGAAGTTTCTTGTTGCATCGGACCTTCCTGCGGTTGCAGGCATTGCAACTGCGATGGAGTAGGGTCGACACTCCTTCGCGGGGAAGACTGGAATTCACGGGATTGGCTGGTTGGACCATTTGGTAAACATCATGATTTGCAAGTTGAGTTGAAGATGTTTAGAATGCCAAGATCAATTTATTTCCCCCACATTCCAAAATATGACGTCCCTTTGGGACAGCTCTGAATTATGTAATCACCGAAGGGCACCCCCATCGTAACGCAGCCGATCCAAGCACTACAACGAGGTTTACCATCGGAGGCAAGTCGCTACATTTGAGTAACAGTACCATATTCGCTAATTAGACTAGGGCCAGGCTAACTACACCCTGTCGGGTACCACGAGTGAGGATTCAGTTGCCACAATGCGAAAAGCATTGTCACCAGACCCAGTTCTCTTTGACGACAGTCGCCGAACATGGGCGAATAGCGAGGGAACGACCCTCCTCGCAACGCTTGAGACTCTCACAAAGGCTATGGAAGACATCCAGGAAAAGGTAGAAAGCCAAGGAAAGGAATCAAAGGATCTCCAGCAAAAGTTGGAAAGCCAGGGAAAAGAGCTAGAAGAAGCTCAAAAGCAATCATCAAATATGAGCGGACGTTCGATGCTTATACCATTGAGGTGCGGTCAATGGTACTTGACAAATGGGCTGGGAGGCCCATCAGCCACACAAGGAGATCTCAGCGGAACGCCGCCGCGCATGGAGGAAGCATCCTAGCCGACTACGATGTGATCCTCCACGAGGCTGGGCAGCAAAGCTCGAGGGTGGACCGGTGGAAGCCGGCGTTCGAATCACAATACGGTGTGTCCTGGGACTTTCTTAATGCCCGTGGAGGACTTGACTTAGCTAGCAAAGAGCTAGTTCGAATCTTCGATTACCTTGCGAATACTCGATCGCTTGAGAAGTGGGAGGACTGGAAAATTCTGTCTAACTCGAAAACGTCTACCAAGAAGTTCGAAGATCGCGCCGAGATAATCGCAACCTGTAGTAACTGGATCGCGAAGTGGGTTGGTGAAGCCATGGACACCAACCCAACAAAACGTCAGATGCAGAGACTCCGAAAGCTCTCTGACCAGGCGTAGAGGCGCCACCGTCACCTCCACCCCCACCTCCTTAACACCAGAGCTCTCCCTCTACGCCTCACCGTCACCGTCACCTCCCCCCTCTCCCTAACACAAGAAGCCTCCCATTGCTGCTCGCCTTGCACTGTTCTCGGCTTCTTGGCTATTTACGATTTGCATGGTATAGATAATTACCTCTCTGTATGTATAATAATAATTGCAATATCACTACTAGCGGCTAGATAGCTGCTCTATCAATCTATCTATCACTTACCTGGGATGAGGATAATATTCAGTACTAATACATAATTCAGTACATACGGCCATCGGGTGTGAACTGATCCAAAAGAGGATTAGCCTGCTGTGCCAACAGGGGTTACCTTCTAGTTATGTGCAGATGCCAAGACGTTGAGTGTTTCAAAGGAGACAAACACGATCTAGTGATATTCTGCCGTTGGTTCAGCTGAAGGGGTCAATGCGGTGATCGCGCGACTTGGGTGATTCTCACCCTGATTCTCACCCCATTTATAGTGCACTCATCCTTATCACCCCCAGTCGCGCGATAGTAAAGCGGCGCTCACCCCCGGCGACACCCACCGAACTACTGGCCGCACATAAGCCACACGCCGGTGAGTTAGTAGTTGGGTGGGTGACCACCAGCGAATCCTCACTGTTGTATGTCTAATAACCGTGCCAAGCGCCCAACACACCTACCGGGTGTTGGTGCGCCCCAGCAGATGTAAAATCTAGAAATTATGTATCTTTTGTATGACTTACCTATACAAAAGGTACCTACTGGAATCCTAAAAAAGATCAACTCTCCTTAGTGTGCCGATCCCGTTACTCGAAACGAGATGCAGTAAACCGCCGTGGTCCGTGTCGGTAAGCCACGAGCTCCATAGCTCCCTAGATATCTAGAAGGATATGAATGGCGAGATACACTTGCAGGAGACCAAAAAGGCTGAAATATTAGATATCGGTGACTTGTGTATCAAAACTTCTGGTAACGCTAAAAGGAGAACAACAAATGCCTAATCCCATGCAGAGATGAAGACCGTCCTTATTAATCCTTCTCCATCTTCGCAAGTCCACCACGGCTACGCCGAATGCGTTCATCGAGAGTATCCTCCTGCACCCGTTTATTGACATCAGACATGAACCTGCCCCGGTCTGAACGCTGCCGATCATCAGCCTCCCGCTGCTCTTCTTCCTTGGCAGAGATCTCCGCGAGTCGCCGGCGTCGCTCTGATTCGATTTCTGTGGCATTGTATTGCATCTCTGCCAATTTACGACGGCGCTCTTCTTCCAGTTCCTTGGGATCGGGCTTGTTCGTTGGGGTACGGGTCGAGGGCGGCCCCATGGCGCCCCTGGCAGAGTCGCGCCCATTGTTGTATTCGCGTTGGGGGAAGTCACGACTGCGATCTTCGTCGGCGGCGGGGCGTTCTTTGCGATCGCTAGAAGGCCGAGGAGACCGGGAGTTCCGGGATGGTGAGCGGTCTCGCCCACCTCTGTCTTCACGATCTTGGTGTCGGCTGGAGTGAGAGTCTCTCTTGTCATGGTAGTCGCGACGGTCTCGGCCCCGGTCTCTATCGTCCCGGCAAGAACGGTTCTCGTCGCTCCTGAGATCACGGTTGTCTGGGCGGTATTCGTCGTTGCGGCGTCCACGGTCACGGTCACTTCGGTGTCTGCGAGAAGACCGATCTGGCGAAGTGGGTGACCTAGATCGGTGTCGCCGAGGCGAAGACCGTCGGTGGTGGCGCTCACGGCGCTCGTCACCAGCATCATCACTATAGCGTCTGCGCTTTGAGTCGTGGGTACGATGGCGACGGTCACGATCCTTTCCCCGATCGCGATCTCCGCGTTCCTTCTCTCTTTCCTTGCGCCTGAGAGTCTCTTTCACCATCGCCTCATAAGCCGCTTGTTCTCTCTTCTTCACCTCGAGTAGCGGGTCCGCCATAACCTTCGACATGGTGTCGCGCGCCGAGACAATAGATGGACCGGCCGCGGCACCATTACCCACCACCTCCGAACCCTTCTCCAGCTTCTTAGTGTCCGGGTCGTTCTTCAGGAGAACTCCATCGATGCGGCGCTTTCCAAGCAGATATCCCTCCATCTCCTCCGAGTAGTGCCCGGTCTCGCCCGAGGGTGCTTGGTACATCCAGTCGACTCGACTGTGTTGCTTTGCCTTTCCGGAGGCTTCTTGGAGGCGTTGAATCTCCTCCATCTGGCGCTCCTCCTCTCTTTCACGCTGTAGTTGCGCAATCTTTTTGCGCTCGTCGAGAGCGCGCTTCTCTTCCAGCCATACACGCTCCTGGTTCTTGATCAAGCCTGGATGCCATGACCTGGTTGGACGGTTAGTGTTATGCTTCTCTCTTGAAGTAGGTATTGAAGTCGGAACTAGGTACTTACTTCTTCAGGTTCAAATCTCCACCCATGATGCCTAGAAATAGGATGAATAAAATGTAAAGGAGCTTGGTATGAGCAAGTTGTTGTCCGAAGGTCCACGGGTAAATCTAAAGCCTTAATCGCCACCAATCACGTGATCTAGCAATACGATACACTCTGATATGGAGTGTGTTAACTAGGTGATATATTGAATGTGTCGAATAAAACGGAATAATAAAATGAATATCTTCTATTTTCCTCTTTCATAGTCGGGATATCAGTATGGCCTCAAATAACTACCAATGGAGCAGAATTAACCATAAAGCAGAAACATTAGAGATGTAGTAGAAGTCAAGAATGAAAACGCGAAAATAGCAAATGACGGGGGTTGGTTCTAAATACAAGATGAAGAACCGAAAGAAAACGCATCATATCATATCGTCATCGCCATCGCCATAGAACTGCCATAGAACTCCAAGAGCAAAGCCGGATTACCAGAAACTACACCATCCAATCCAATGTTGACAGATATTCTCAACATTGGTTGCCTGCGCAATGAGCTTGTCCACCTGGTCGCTGACACTCAGCTCTTCGCTATTTCGGAAGTCTCGTCCAGTGAGCTTCTCCTTGACTCGGGCGAGAACCTGGAGAGCACGGGCATTCTGTGCCTCGCGGGCTTCTTGTGGAACGCCTTCCGGAGCATCGAGAATACCACCTTCAAGCATGGATGGGCGACGGCGACGGGAGAATTCGCCCGGCGGCTGCGCACCGGGTTCGAAATTGACACCGTCCATGATAGACTGGCGGCGATCCGCAGTGAGAGACACTCGGTCTGGGGATGAGTCTTGTGCACCCAGACGCCAGTTGATTAGAGGGTCGTGGATGAACTAGAAAAGTTAAAGTTAGTGTGGTTCGAGAACATCAAAAAATCAGGTACTTACAGCCTCCAAAACCGCCATCAAGGAATCTTTATGCTCTCGTAGAACACGCATGACAGCCTCACAAGTGATGCGGTAGCTACCCTCAATGTTGCTGACTTCCATGGCGAATGTCAACATGCGAGTAAGTCGGAACGGAACTCGCTCCGGGTACTTCTCCCGGTGCATTGCGATCTCGAAACAATCACCGAAGTCGATATGAACGACACGACCATTACCACGATCCAGCAACAAGTTCGACGGATGTCTGTCTCCCAGACCAAGGATGTAGCCCACCATAGACATAACACCAAGCGATCGAGTGTAGTTCGTACGGCGCTCGAGCCATGCCTCGGAGCTCTTGCTCTTGAGCCATAGCACACGGTACAGATCTTTGCCGGTCGTGTTGTCCATAGCGTAACCGAAGACTTCAACCTTCTGCATGAGGGTAAGGCTATCGTAGTCGGGTGCCATTTGTAGCATGATCCGGTGCTCAATATTGAGCAGAATCCGACGGCTTTCACGGTATTCCTTGATCAAGGCATGGAATGTATCGCTGTTGGACACCCATCCCAGAAGACCAGAGCTCTGAGACAATGGAATAGCAGGGAAGCGCTGAACCGACAGGTGTCGCTTGAAACTCTCGCTATCGTTGTCCAGCAAGGTATTGCACAAACCGAAAAGTTGCATGACTCGCTCATCTTGTCGGATATCTTCATGACCCTTGACAAGGTACATGTAAGAGCTACCGTTGCTGCCCTTGAGCGTCATACGACGCGGTCGTTTCTTTGTCTGCAAGACATGCAAGATGGGGTCAAAGCTCATAATTCGAATGACTGGCTTACCACTCTGGTATGTTCCTGGAACGGCAAGATCAAGGTCTGAGCAATCCTTGAGTCGAGGAGACACGTATTTCAGATCCAGAGTCGATAGCTGCGGCAGTTGTCGGCTGATCTTGCGGAATACGGTGTAATACAGGTCCCAAGCTTGGTTGAGATCGCCGATTTCATCTGATTCGCGAAACATCATGCAGTAGTGCTTGGCTTCAGCCAGATCACGACCGAAAGCTTGCGCAAATGACACCTCACGAAGGGTCTCAGCGCCCTTGTCTAGCATATCATGGAAGGGGGCAAGTGTTGCGAACATGCCGTCAACATCGTTATCACCGAAATAGAGACGGGAGGCTTCTTCCAGACCTTCATGCCAAAGCTCATGCCACAGCACCGCAACTCGGATAAGCTCATGACTGACAAGATCTGCTTGCTCGACAAGCTTGGCGCTATGTTGGCGCATACTTTCCATGATGTTGCTAGCAGATTGAGAGCGTCGGGTCACGTTCGATTTCATTGCTACCGTCAGTGGATACACAAGGGCTTGAGGATGCGCTTTGCCAACCTCGGCAAGCAACCTGTGAACCGCACCGCGGACCCTGATATTGGGCTGATTGATTCGAGCGATAAGTTGAGGAGTGACAGCAAGCCAAGTGTCAATATTGACAGCCGTAAATCCTTCCGTAACGACGGTATTCACCTCATGATCTCCGCCATGATTAAACCACAGAGTGAGTAATCTTAAAGTGTCTTGCAACGAAGACGTCAAGGACAAAGCGATGGAGCGAATAAATCCACGAATTGCAGGAATCACATGTTCTGTAACGATATGAGCAGGAACAGCCCCAGGCATACCCTCACGGCTAGCCTGGTTTGAAATTGTTGTAACAACTTCGAAGTTTGCAAGTGCCCAGGAGTGCCACGCCTTGTATGAATCGCGGTTGTATTGGGTCGCCGCTGAGTAGGCGTTGAGAACCTCTCGAACGTGTTCTGGCCTCCAGTCACCCCTCTGTAGGGTGGTCTGCCACTCTCCCTGCCTCAGATAACTCTTGGAGAGAAGTTTTCTGAATTTGTTGGCGTCACCAATCCGTTCGTTCAGGCTGATGGCGTCTGGGTGGTTCTGATCGACGACCCCGTTGGCTCCATTCGCAGCATTTGATACCATGAGTGTGTTGTATCGAGAAAAATCATCGGTCAGGCCAGAGGTAAATTCTTTCATCATTTCAAGAGATTCTAGTTGGTGACCATTTGCCCAACTGAATTTCAGCCTGGCATATGTGACTTCGGGTGGTGCGATAGTGCGCGTTCCATTGGCATCAGACACCACTGTCTCTAGAGATGCAAGGGACCGTTCCGCAAGACCCATGCGGTTGGACTTGCGACAAAGATTGGCGAACTTGATGGACATATCAAGATTCTCACGTGGGGCAGTGACAAGAGCTCTGACCTTGAGCATACGCTGCCACACTTCCACGTTTTGCTGACATCCGAGCAATCTTTGATTCCAAGTTTTACGCATGGCATCTTGCTTTTCGGGGTCGCCGACGTTTTGCTTGTATGTGATGATCTCTTCCAGCTCAGCGAGCATCTGGACCCGGACAACAACGTTGTACGCACGGTTGTATGACTCTCCGAGAAGAGCTGACAATTCAGTATCGAGACCATTCCGAGCCTTCTCAATGTACATGTTGGCTTCTTCGAATTGATTGCGATGGATTGCCAGAATGGCACCGAAGAATGAGCGGTCCGGGGACTGCTCTTTCATGAC